CAGTATGGTCACAATCACCCCTAGCCCATTAAATGCAAATTGGGTGACTAGGAGGCATACTTTTAACTACCCTCAAAGTCAAAGAAAAAATTTCTTTAACATTACGGCTTGCCTACCGATTTCTTATCTAACTGCTAGGAATGATGATAGTATCCTTATATCAAAGGCAGTCGGTCTTTCATACAAACAACATGTGTCAATCATTTTATTAGGTTTATTTTATCAATACAATTGATGGTATCTTCATTCGGGGTTCAATTTCTATTAGTATGCGGCCAAAGTGTGATCATTGTGTTGAAGTTGTCCTACCTTTTTTTTTTGGCTAAATAAATAGGTCAATACATTTTCTTTTTTCTTGGATAGCTCAGCGGTAGGTATCAAGTTTGTGTAATATTATGTAATCTCCTTCAATTACTAGTTCATTGAAAAAGTATTGCTTCAGGTGCTTAAAACTTTTCTCTGAAACCCAATTATGCTTATAATATTTTTTTGCCTCTTATTTTATGTGACAATATAAAAAAACAATACATGTAAATTTTAAACTCCTTTTACAATTATTTTTGGAATTTTTTACCCAAATTACATTTTTTTAGTAAAAATCTTGACACTAATCGGCCGATTTAGTAGGAATCGATCTGACTAATGGGATCAGACCAGGACCGACTAGTCGGCCTGATTCGCTCTTTCGAACATTGGTTCTAATAGTGTGTAACATGGGAGGACATGTTGGGACAACTATCCAGGCGTCAAGGATGCAATTGGACCACTATGGCATATGACTGTTGGAAATTCATCAAAAGACATCCCAAATATCAATTATATGGGGACCTCATCCATGCATCATCGATGTCACTTAACTCAATACCACTCATATAACCTTTCGCCATATGGGGTCTTGATATTGTCAGAATGATCACTCCAAAAAACTCAAATGACCATCGATACATTTTGATAGCCATAAGTACTTCACAAAATCTATAGAAGCCATATCATTTACCAAGATCAAAGGACAATATGTTGCCCGTTTCATAAAGAACAAAATCATATTTAGATTCAGAGTCCTAAAGTTAGTCATTACTGATAGTGAGACCAACTTCAAAAATAAAAAAGTAGCAAGGATGTGCAAAATTTTTGGGATAACTCATAAATTTCTTGGAGTGCTCGCTCATAGAGAAATAATATAAAGGAGAAAGCAAAAGCACGTCGCCTTAAACACTCTCGATGAAAGATGACCATGAGCTACACAAAACATTTTAGCCTACAACTGTAGGATTGTGAGAGTATATCAAAGGAAGGTCATTCCCTAACAGTTTAGAGTTGGGGACTCAGTACTTAAGAAAATCTTTCACTATGTTACAAATCTGCACCCATTAGGAAAATTCAAGCCTAATTAGGAAGGGTATTTATAGTGACTCAAGCGCAAGCAAGTAATTCCTATAAAATCATCCTCAATGCAATGTACCTCTAAAGATATTACCCATAATAAGACCTATATATATAAGATGTCGAATGTGGTGAGAAGTTAAATGATCACCACAAGTTAGAAAGGAGATAACATACTGGTAAAACACTATGGGGCGAAGAATTCATCAAAAATAAAGGCCATAATGGAAACAACCAAGTACAGGAATTATGACCCAAAATCCCAAGGGAAAATCTGGAAAAGAAACGGACACGTGAGGAACATAACGATAAATGTACATGCAGCCTTTAGAAAGTGCATAACACCTTAACAATCATAGACTGAGACAAGAGACCCCCTAAAATTCTCAAAGATTTCTAACTAAACTATCACAGACAGGGACAAGAGACCTCTCAAAATCCTCAAAGATTCCTAACTAAACCATCCTCAGGAAAGATCAAAGGAAACATCATTTGGAAAATCTGAGGAAATTTCCTCGAGCCTAGGGGCAATGTCAGATGCTCTCCAATACGAAACCCGTTGGAATCCAGAGAACTCCTCTAGAACTTTGTGATAACAAGGCATACTTTCAGCTTCCCTCGCGAACTCGCAGGTAAGCCCAATTCATAATCACTAAAACAAGGACAAAACAGATAATAATTAAAATCACCACCAAATATGCAACATGTGGTAAAAATATTTTTGAAATTCTACTAGAATGAAAAAATTACTTTACAAAAGAATTTTTCAAATGACTATTTTTAAAATAGAAAGGGATTCCCTCCACTACTACAATAGGTAAAGTTATTAGTCCGTCTAGCTTTGATTTCCAAAGCCAACCTCCAAAGCCTATCAAGAGGGCGTGAAACTGGTCAGGCACTCCATAGTTGTATTAGTATAATTGTCAACTACCATGCATTGGAGATGGATAAGCCTCACCAATTATGACATTGACTAGTGTGGGAGCTTTCTTTTGCTTGCCTAGATACCTTGAGGCAAAAATGAGGCAAACATGTTTCATTCAAATGCACGCACAAAAATAACTAGACTGTTGCACATCACCCACTCACAATGTGGAAAGAAGAAGTTGTGATCAAGCATAAGTTGAAATGTGGGATGAAACAAAAAGTGAAAAAAAAATGTAGTACCGCAAAAAGACATGATAAAGATGTATACATAAATGTTCACAAGCACAACTTTCATATATGTAAAAGAAAAATAAAAACAAAAGATAA